CAAGAAATTGAAACAATCAAAACCCTAAGCAGGACTTTTCCTTTATAAATACCTTGATTGTAAAATCATGAACTGATGATTTGCCAGCGATAGATGAAGTTGCACCGATTTTTGAAATTTAGATGTACTTTGAAGAAGAAATGGATGATCGATCATTTCTGAGGAGGAGAAAGCCACCGATATCTATTGAAGATCAGCCCCAATTCCAGTTCTCCCAACAAATCTTTTTTCGGGTTGATGAGAGAAGGCGACGAAGAGGAGGAGAAAGCACCGCTTCAAGCGGAACGACGACGAGGAGAGAGCACCGGATTATCTCCGGCGAGAGCAGTGGGGAGTTGGAGGTTATCTCCGGCGACGAGAGGTGGGGAGTTAGCGGAGACCGGCGAGAGCATGGGAAAGTGACGAGAAGGTTAGGGCATGAAGGTTAGCGTGGAAGAGGAGATGTCTGAGGGATTTGGATTTCAAAATCCAGCCCATTTACCATGGATTTCAAAATCCCTTGTTTACGGGATTTAAAAAAAGTATACGGGATTTTAAATCCAGCCCATTTAGCAAACCAAACATGGGAATGAAATGGATTTTAAATCCAAATCCTCCCAAATCCATTCCATTCCGCCAAACCAAACGCACCCTAATTAATATTGAAAAATCCAAAAATTAAAAAAATGTTAAAGCTTTGTTAACTAAGGAGTCGTTTACCCAAACGCTTATCAGTAAGTTTTTACCAGTAAGAGTTAACATTCAAACTCTTTTACCAAATAAGATTATAGTCCATTAAAACAGTATCATATGCAATAATTTACATGATAAACATTTATTGGGTAAGAGTCGTCACTCTTACTTACGAGTAAAACTCTTCATCCTTATTATAATTCTTATTGTGTAAGATTATATATCCTTGTCATATTCATAGGCAGGGCCGGCCCTGGCTATAGGCCCAGGGGGCGACGGCCCAGGGCAGCATGAAGCCCAAGGGCATCAAATCTGTAAAGCCCAATGTATATATAGGTTGAGTTTTTTTAGGCCTAAGAAAATCTAATGTTACCGCCCTGTTTCTTCCTCTCGATTCTCGCCTACCTCTCGACTCCTCTCGCCTCCCGCCTCCCTCTAACGTTGTCGTTCAATCTCAATCGAAATCAATATCGCAAAAAGGCTCTAGCTCTCACGCTCCGTCGCTCAATCTCAATCGAAAATCAATGTCGCAAATGGCTCTCGCTCTCGCTCTCTGCCTGACTGCCTCTCACGACTATTGACTCCGACTGCCGTCGGTCTGCGGCTGCCGGGCGCCGGCTGCTTGCCTCTTTCCGTCTCTCGTCGCTCTCTGCCTCTCGCTCTCCGCCCATCACTGTTGTGAGGTTAGGGCTTAACTTAGGGTTATTTKATTACTTATTTACTTTACTTTACTACTTATTTTATGTTTCTAATTTTTGTTTGATTAATTCATAATCTAGATGAAGCTAACCTGTTTACTTAGGTTTTCTTTTAAGTTTTAAATATATAATATACTAATACTATATATATGTCTACTTAGGTTTTCTGTAAACAACATTATAATGAAGTTGTCCTGCCTACTTAGGTTTTCTTTTAAACTGATTGGGACTTGTGGCTGTTTTTGGGGCTGTTTTGTTTTGCATTCTTTTCAATCTGCTCAAGCCCTAAATTTTTTACTTTTTAGGGTTGTTTAGAAGTTGTTTTGAAAATGATTAGTATAGGACAAAGGCTTAACATTGATGATTAGTATAGGATAAAGGCTTAAGTTTTTTAGRAGCTGTTTTAGCTACTATTAGTTATGACAAAATGTAGATATTTTTGCTTCAAAAAATGCAARAAGGCATCGTTTTAGGTGAATGGTAATGTATTTTATGTTTTGTTACACRGGGTTTTGGTTTATGTCCCCCCATCATTTTTGTTATATTTAAAAAAAATCAGCGTGATGATGAGCCGCCTAGATTGACTAGGTTTCAAACCCCTTCAAATAGTTTATTGTGGTTTTTATATACACACATAAGGGGCATTTTTTTGGTTTTCCGCCATGGGCATCCAAAATCTCAGGACCGGCCCTGTTCATAGGTAAGATAAACTACCCGATAAATACTTATCGAGTAAGCATTTTAGTAAGAGACTCCTAAATGTTTACTAGCTACGCGTTAGCAGTATCACTTACCTCATCGATTGAGCATATAATTAATCAAAAATCTTACATGATGAGAGATATAACCATGAGTTTTCTTGAATTATTATAAGGACCAGTCATATTTTCTAAATTTTTAAAAATAATTTATAGGGACGAGTCATATTCCACGTGTGCACATGTCGTGGACCAATAAAATTCCATTCCTCGCAATATCCTCCATACCATCGTTTCCACGTCATCATCTTCTCCATTTTCACAGCCATCGATTTGTTTCCCCCTTCTAACTAATCTTGCCTTCAACCTTCAACAGAAACAGTTTAAAGAACCCAAAACGACGAACAATAGTAAATAAAACAAGTCCAAATCTGATCACCTCTAGAATCCATCGATTCTTCTATTAGTGTATCCTGTCTGTTCTCTTTCAATTGGAAATTGACCTTTCAATGGCTGTTAGGGTTTTGAATTTCGCTGGTTACCTGTTGTTTTATTCCCTCATAATTCGATTTTCGAGCTCAGCAGCTTCCATCTCAAAACCAGACGTTAAATCACCATCCTAAAGCCATATCTGTAAGTAATTCTCTCAAATCGTTGAACAAATCCTTAAATCTAAACTGTTATTTCTGTTCGAGATTAATGTTGGATTGTTCTCGAATTTCATTTGGGATCCTCTCGATCAGAAGAGAGAAACATGCTAGATCAATACATTGTTTTAGAACACAAGCTTTTATGTATACGATTTTACCATGATCACGATTAATGCTCTCCTTGGGTTCTATCAACTTTTTGAGGCAAACAACAGCGATTTGGATTCAAATATGTAGAGAGCTGTTGGGATCTCTAATTTTTTATTTGATTGTGTTTCAGGATTTGCAAGAAGTTATTGTTAAGGGATTAGGGTTTCAATCGAATGACCTTAAGATATCTGGGTTTGATTTGAGGATGGTCGATCCACTGTTTATGAGTTATATTCAGAAATTGATGATAAGTGATCCCGTTGAAACTTCTGGACGATGTGAATAGATGGAACCTGTAGATTTGCCTATTTTTTAAACAAGAAACGCCAGCGATGAGAATGGACTGGTAGCAGAGAAGAAGAGAAGACGAAAAAGAAGGGTTTGCAAGGGTCCCCTGTTTTGTCTCCATTCCAGCTTGCAGGTCCAATGGAGCTCTGGATTCAGGACGCCAAGGACATGAGACTTCCGTTACCTGTAAGTTCATCTTTACATCTGCCTTTCAATTCCTATATTTTCTTTGATTCAATTGATTTTATTTTGAGTAAAATGCAACAAAGTTTGGTTTAGTTTCAGCGTTTTTTCTTGATCGATGCAATAAAGTTTTTAAATTTCCTATTCTGTAAGTAGTTTGACCGGTAAACTAATGGTCTTGTAAATATTTAATGACTTGGGTACGCATTTATGAAAAGTGACAGCAAAGCGACGATAAACTTATCATCCTAGTTATTAAATATTATAAGATCAACATATTATCGGTCAAAATGAGTATAAAATATAAAATTATGAAACTTCTTTGTTACACTAAAAATAGGAAATAAGGCAAACATCGTTCCATTTTGATGCATGTTACGCCAAAATGTTTTATAGTTCGTAGTTTTATGTACAGCATCATGTTGATGCTGGTGAGCTGAGGAAAGTAATCCTAGCAGATGGGGCTTTTGTGACAGTGAAGGGTGCCAAATCAGTTGGCTTACTCCGAGCGGTTGAGCTAGACCTTCCTTTGAACAAAACCCAAAACCGCTTTGCTTCAGGCATCCTGACCCCAGCCGATCGCCTGCGGCATGCTTATCGTACCTGAACCCAACTCCTCTCTTCGTATCGCAGGCCCTACATCTCTTACTTCCCCTAAATTGTCACCCTCTTCCAACAAGCTCAAGCTGAAGCGCCTTGCCCCTGGCTTGGTGGAACTGTCCTCCACTTTGAAACCAAATTCAACAAACTCAATCTCAGCCATTGATCTTCGAGAGGTGAAACTAAATCCCCTACCCTCCTTTCTCACGGCCCTTTCAGATTATGGCCGTTCGTGTCCCTAAATGGGTCAAACCCACACTTGATTGGTTTAGAGGCACTACTCTCCGTCCTCGGTTTTGGGTTCTAAAGCCAAGGAGTAGGGTTTTTTTCAGGTTGTTAAGAGCAGATGTATCGGCTCAGACATTCATGAAGATAGGGTTCACGGTAGAGAAGTTGAGTGGAAACGGGTCGGAATGGGCAGGTTATCCTAAGTGGAGAACAAAGCCCGAGATCATGAGAATGCACTTTGAGGTGTTGGCTAAGGTTGATGGAGAAAAGATTGTGCCTGAGAGATTAATACAGGTCGATCCTGTTATGGTGAAGGACACTATGGCTACTAATCTCATTACTGGTCACATTACTTCTTCCTCAACGATCTCCATCATTTACCCTCTAAAGGTCCTTGGAGCTCAATTTTGTCAGGATTAGGCGAATATAAATATGGATTCCTTTTCCCTTTTTTTTCCTTCCTTTTTTTAGCCTTTGCAAGATCATGTTTTATATATAATAGTGAAGTGGTCTTTATTATAAGTCTTCTTCTTAGGTTTTGGTTACATAGTTTCAATCAAGACTAAGGTCTGCAATACTGGAACCTAGAAACCTCGAGACCAGCTCAACTGTCAAATAAAGACTAGGCTTTTTTAGGGATCCTCCCCATAAGTTGCCGGTTCAAGTCTTATCAAGGCCACTATAGATATTCCTTTATGTTATCTTCAAGGTCCTATGGAATTAATTGAGGTGTGCGCAAGCTGGTCTGGACACCCAAGGTTACCCAAAAAACTGGAGCGTAACTATGGTACAAAGTAGTTGGGATAAACCATTACAAATTTGATTCATGGATATAATAAGATGGAACATAGTATTATATATATATGGATATTCTGATACATCTATTTTAGGTATACTTTGATTGGTACATTAATAAGAACATGAAGTAATAAACAAAGACATGATAAGAGAGTCAACACTCGTATACCACCTCAACCTCACACCCCTTCATTTTCTTATGAAAGAAACCCCCTTTTCAATGCTTGTTGCCAACTCTTTTTTGGCTTCCTCCAATCCAACCCTGTTTGTGTCAAATTAATCAAATGATTAATCCTTTGTTCAACTAAAATCCCGTATGCATGGGCCCCTATAACTTCACAAAAAGGTTATTTTATCGTCTTACCTTTCATATTCGTTCAAAGGTCCAAGTTGGTATATTTCTTCTGCACCACCACGACCTAGCCGGACTTGAGTTGCAAAGAAGGGGAGTTCTGTGACCTATCAACCACCAATTTACAAACACTTGATGAACTCTAATCTGAGAAAATGGATAGTTAGATCTATAAAAAGGTTTTATACCTGAGAAGCCACATAAGCACACTCCACAATACCAGCATCTCCTCTTAAGCCACGAAGACAGCAATCTGCAAACTTAACTGCTGCATATGCCTGTGCAGTTGACAGATCCTCTCTTTTACTTTCATGGGCTTTAAAACTAATTCAATTATGAACTTCATAAAGATGAAATACAAATTATATGGCTTACCATTGATAGTGTTGCAGAGCCAGCTCCAGCTTTGGCCTGAAATGGTTACTTAGGTTATCGTAATCAATCTACATATAGTTGCAGAGAAAGAAAACCCATCTGGTTTACCTGAACAACTTCTGTCCCCCCATCTTGAATGCGCTTTGTTAAGTATTCAGTTTCTTCTTTAGTGAAGGAGCAGGGAGGTTTGACCTACAAAGTTGATGATAGTGATTATAAAGTTCAGATTCTGAAACATGGATCTAGCTTTTCCTTTACCTGTGAAAGAAGAGGCAGAATTGTAACTCCTGCGTGTCCTCCAACTACTGGAACACTAACTTCCCTTGGATCAAGTCCCAAAACTTCAGCCTGAAAAAAGTAAATTTATAAAAAAAATCTCACAGTGACAGTCTCTTGGAAAGACGTGAAAGATTTAGCAATGTTCTTTGTTCAATGATACAATCGCTTTTAATTGAAAAGATGTCTAAAAGAGGATACATGACTTTTGAAATGGTTGAGAGGTATGTTCAAAAAGCACTTGGGAACAATTAGCTACCCGATAGTGGAAGAGTTTGAAACCAAGGGAGTGGAAGAGTTCTTAGATGCACATTTCTGATTTTGCAAGCTACATCATGTATAAAATACAATTTTCCGCTGGAGGAAGCTCTTTACCAACTCAAAAGACTATGGCTATGTTTGGCAAGCTAATTAAAAAGCAAGGCTTTGGCTGAAAAGCTAGCTGATAAACTAGTCATGTTTGAAAAAAATAACTAGCTAATAAGCTAGACGACAATGTAAAATGACCTAAAACGACATGTAAAAAAATTAATTGGAAAAAAAGTCCCTGGAGCTTATTGAAAAGTTATTTCAAATGGCGCTTTAAAAAGCTAGTTTCTGGTAAACCAAACGGAGCCTTTTCAAAAAGCTCAAAATATAAGCTAGCTTACGGTTGCCAAACATGGCCTATGTAATTCCTAGGCAAAGTGGAATGATTTTCTGGTACCATTTTAGGATATCATCTTCCAATATAATGATAAGTAAGAATGTTTTAACTGTGAAACGCAATGCATAACTCAAACGTTAAACAATGAGGAATTGATTGCATACCACAAAAGTGTTGGCTCTAACAACATCAAGCATCGTGACGCCCAGCAGCCGTTTGGGATCATAAGTGCCAGCTTTCTTGAAAACTTCTGCAGCAATTGGGACCGTAGAGTTCACAGGATTGCTGATCAAATTGACAATTGCATTCGGGCAAGACCTTGTTATTCCTTCACAAAGGGTTTTAACAATTCCAGCATTAATCTTGAAAAGGTCATCCCTTGTCATTCCAGGCTTTCTTGGAACACCAGCAGGTATAATCACAAGGTCCATCCCCGTAAGTGCAGCGTCAAGCTGTGGTTGCCCTAGAAAACCTCTCACCTGCCAAACGAAAACAACAATTACACACTTCTCGTGGATATCTTACATATTTCCATAATTATAACTTGAGTACCAACAAACGAGTACTTCAAAACAAACAAGCCTTATATTTTTACTTCAGAAAATTACCATAGAATTTGAATACCATAAGTTTTCTTTAAGTAGGCAACCATATATTCTTCTATGATCCATCATGTTAATATTGCAACATTTTCCTTTTTAGGTGTCCCATGAAAATTTCAACATTTCCTTCTATTAGAAAGTTTACAAACTAAATTGATCTAATTGTTATAATCATCATTACAAATAAGTTGATGGTCTTGATTGGGGTCTACAAGATTCTTTTATTTAGTCTGTATCAAGGGCATTTTAGACATTTAAGAAAAGTCCAAACACATTCCTTAAACCAACTAACCAAGTGTTAAGTCGAATATCTGTAATTTTCATGTGACTGAGGAAATGATGAATGAAATGAGGGCAATTTAGGACAACATCATGAACTGATACCAGATACATACGAAAAAGGTTGTCCAATGAACAACACAGATAGGTTTAAATTCAATAACTGTTATTGAAGAAAAGTTAAGTTACCACAGCTCCAGTGTCCATGTGGCTAATATCAGCTGTGACACCAGGGGAGTTAACAACATCATAGAGATGAAGAACCGAAACCAATGGGTTCATCTTCATTAGCATGGCTAGAGGTTGACCGATCCCTCCAGCAGCACCCAAGATAGCAACTTTGAACCCAGGTGCCCCTCCCTTTGCTCTGCAATTAGTTTGCTCCAGTACTGATCCACCCTCCATCTTCAAGTACATAATTCAAGAAAAAATTTAGTGTCAGCAATCGAAGATCATGAGAAACCTAGATGTAAAAAGATTCTCTATTTATACAAACAAACTGATGTATTAATGCCTTTAAGGATACTTTTTTTTTTAATAATCGTGGGTGTCTAGGCCAGCTTGCGCCCATCTCGACTAATCTCATGGAGCCCTCAAGTTAACAGTCAGGTAAATCTCTGGTGCCGATGAGAGGACTCGAACTTGTGACCACTGGGAGCAAACCCAAGGCCTACCAGTTAAGCTACCCCAAAGGGTTGCCTCTGAGGAGACTTGAACTCACAACCTAGGTTGTCGTCTTGTAGAGATTGGTGCCATTGGGCCAAATGCCACTTGGTCAGATGTAAAGCTTCTAATCCATTCCAAATTAACCACTGCCCAATACTTAATATTTAAGTTAAAACTCGGGTCATAATTATTGAATGTATGGTACCCCTAAAACCTTGTCATTGATTACATCTCCCTACATTCCAGAAGCTTGATTTCTGAGATCTAACATACTACTTTCAAGGTGCAAAATCACAAACCCAATGGTAAAGCTTTAAACTTCAGCCAAATTAAGCATTAGCCATTACTAAGATTCAACGTTTTTATACAATAAAACACCATCAAGCAATCAAAATTCATGAATATTGAGTAATCCTGAAGCAAAGATTCTAATTAAGCCAAATTGAACACTACCAAGTATTCATATTAACCTTTAGTTACAACCAGGATCTGTAATCAATGAAACTAACAGTACCATCAAAACCGTCATAGAATAGTTATGCATCTGAGAAACTCAATCTTTCAAAATACAAAATCGCAAACTCAATGGTAAAGTGTTAACTTCAGCCAAATATTAAGCACTGTCAATTAATAAAATTCAGATTTGAGTAGAACACCACCAAGCAATCAAAAATCATGAAATTTAAGGTACCCAGCAATAAAGATTCTAACCAGTTACAGTTAGGGTTTATAGCCATCAAATGTCTAGTATGCCAGCCATCAAATAGTTCTTCTTATATTCCAAAACAGAACACAACTTAATTTTTGAAAACCTTCCACTTTCTATATTCAAAACTGCAAACCATGTTGTACATTTTGAAATTCATCCAAATCATGCAATCCCCAATGTTAAGATTCAAATTAATACACGATTATGCATTAGAATACCATCAAAAGTCAAAATCAGGAAATCTGAGAAACACAAAAGTAGAGGTTCTAATTTAGCCAAATTACAAGGTACCTAATACTTATTTTAGAGGTTAGTTACATCTAGGGTTTATAATCACTGAATTCATATGGTGAGCTCAAACGTATCATCAAACACTCTTCCTACCTTCAAAGAGGACCACAAACTCATTTTGGAGATCAAACTTACTTCAGCCAAAATCAAGCAATTCCCATTAATCACATTCAAATTTAATACACCATAACGCAGCAGTAGAACACCATCATCATCAACACCCCCAAACCTTTTGATCATACTGTAACAGATGATGAACCCTAAAGGGTCATTTGAATTGGGCTAACTAAAGCGTTGGATCAATCAACAACAAAATAACGTAAAAGAAAAACTAAAAATTACACAAGACCATACTCATGTAGGTTTCGAATTGGGTATAGAATATGTCTCTCTGTAATTAAGCATCACCTGGACATTTGAAGGGTGGAGATGAGCAGCAATTCTTGCAATTCGCTGATTGGCTTCCATTTTCAGCTGCAGCTTTTTTATGTAACGAGTGTTTCTTGGCGATCAAGAGAAACGAATAAATGGAGATTAACAGAGGTGGGAAAGTGTGTAGAAGATAAAGTATGGATAAAATCAAAACAATTATTTGGTGTCAATTTAATACTAGAAAAAATAATTCCCAAAATTAATTTGTGGAAAATAAGCCCTTATCCTCTATCTTTAGCGTTTGTGGCTCTGTGTGCAGGTATGGTGACTGATTTTTGTATTCTTGTAAAGCTTGCTTGATTGAAACCCCCAATCGGAAATTAGGTTTAAGATCTGAATCCTTGGAATTTGGGGAAAGTTTTAGGGGTTTGAAGATCTTGGCCACTGGTTATGCAATTCGAAGGTGAATTTCATCAAAATTGTGAACTTAATTCGAATTTGAAGTTATTGATTACAAAAACTCCTGTTCCTGCTTGGAGAAGAAGGAAAATGAACCAACTGATTGAACTTCCGTGCAAAAATGTTTGCATGGAATTGCCGATGAAATTTTCATCCTCGATCCTGCCACGTGGAGGTATTACAGGGAACTACTTTAGTGAGGTTGGGCCTGACTCCAATTCATCATGAAATATAAACTTTAGCTAGGTTTGTCACTTGCTTAATAGTTTAGTGTAAAATGATTAAGAGGTTTTCATAATATAGTGCAAAATAAAATATAATTCGTTGGTAATTATTTACAATGAAATTGGGGCTCTTAATGGTTAAGGGATGTTCATGATACAAAATTATTCAGAGCGTTTTAAAATCATTAAGAGACGGACTTTTTGTTTGCCAAACAAGATTCACTTCTTAACGATTCAGAGTAAACAAACAACCCCTTAAACTTAAATTAATTAAAACCAGATAAGGAAAACTCAGTAGGTTTAGAATTGTGAATATCATGTGAATTGTTGCATACACCAATTACGTCATTTAGCATCTTAAATGTGAAATTTTGAACAGAGCCTTCGAATTTTTGGGGCATAAATTTACATGTGTTTAGGGTCTTTTTATCGACTTGTGTAAAACTTTGTTCGAAATTATTTAGGTTCAAACCATTAATTGTTTGGTTTTGGGTTCAAATTATTAATGGTTTAGTTTTAATTTCAAATTGTTAATCGTTTTAGGTTTAACCCAATTTTGTTTTTTAACATATATTATCTTATATCTCATTTATACAATATACTCAAATGTTTTAGATGTAGCAGGACCTCCAAAAAGATTGGAACGTCCATGTCATACACTATATGAATTTACGTATAGTTTAGATGACATAAAAGAGACAAAAAGAAGGTGAAGATGGCAAAAAAGGGTCATATGACGGAACCTCGACATTCAAGCTTTTAAAACTTTGGTCGTAACTGGACAGGGGTCTTGATATTTGATGAAAACAATAATAGATCTGGTGAATAAATGATACTTGAATCAAAAGACCCCGTCAACCAAGAGAAATCGATATCATTAGCTATATCACATGGTTTATTTGATTTTGATTGCACGAGAGTGGCTATATGGACATGAAATTATAATAAAAAGTTCCTATAAAATGTTTTTTTTAATTTATATAATTGTTTTTCCCCTATTTAATTTAACTAACTTCATATGATTGTTTATTATAGTTTTCTTTTACGTACAATTCATTTCAAAACCGGTTTAATAAATTAGGCTGCAACACAAATTAAGCCATACTGGGAAGATTATTTCGTGTTATGCCAATATAATACATTTGCAACCACAGATTTTTGTATAAATTTAATTTCAACATCAGAGCATTACTTTTACAAGTATGTTCAGTGTTCTACAATCTATTTCATTAGTTGTCAATGAATTAACAAATTACGTTTCATCTCAACTTAACTTTACATTTTCGAATAATAAATTTTCATCATCGTGCAACGCACGATACCACATACTAGTAATTCTTGATTTTATGACTAGAGTTTATACTTTATACGTTATTAGTACTAGAAGGGTACTCGTGCAATGCATCGAGATACATTTTCATTTCAATGTTTCGTTTTATTTTTTATCCATGTCGTATAATACGATTTTATGTGGTTTTGAAAAAACGATAATGTTTCTATTTTTGAATAAAATATAAATTTAAAAATATCATATAAAATTTGCAAAAAATATCAATATTAGTATCAAATTAACTATTTAAAAGTTCTTGTTTGTTTATTTTTTTAATTCAATTTTTTATTATAATTTTAATTTAACATAACGGAGTAACTTAATTTAAGTTTAATGATATCCTAATTATATTTTAAATTTTTATTTTATTTTAAAATAAGATGTTTATCCGCAGTTAGTTACATGAATTCACACATACAGCTTTAATAAGTTGTACTTATGTACAATTTACTTATAATCTTGAATTATAAGTAATATGTATCAATAAACTATATTTTATGCATAAAAAATGGGTTTTAAGAGTTTTTATCAAATGCTTTATAATATAGTATAAATTATCTTTTGTAAGAGTGTTCCAAGTTATACCTGAATTAAACCCGGTAAATTGTGAGTGTAAGAAATCAACATTGACAAACTCAGTGGCTATAATTATTGTATACGTCTGGAATTGAACCCTGAACAGATGTTATATTCCACCACATCCCCAAGACCTCAACCACTATGTCATAACCCTTTTATTAGTTCAGAATTCAAGTATTATTGTATATATTGTAAAATATAAATTAACAAATGAAATGTACTTAAATAGTTATATATTTAAAGGAGATCAAACAAGAACATGGTCAAAATAAGATAACAAGAAAATTGTTAAATCATATGTGATTCGACCGTTTTTCTTATTTTGTTGTTCTCATATGAATCTAACTTTATTTATCAGATATTGTTCCATCTTGGTCGATTCGAACCTGTTGTTTTAGGTTTCGGATACAACATTTATCAAATCCGTTGTATGAATTAGCTTTGAAAGTATCATCCGACCATGAAAAATTAGATTGGATTTTCTTGACAAATGTTATAGCTTTAAAGTATTTGAATATGTATCCGATGAAGCATTTTCATGAAACTTCTATAGCTGGAAATGTGATGTATAGCTTATATTTCATAAATAGAAAAAGATAAGATTTTTAATTGTAAAAGTCTTGTAACTATTTATATTGATCCAAGAACAAAATGGCTTCAACAAAATCGAAGATAGTTGAAATGAGGTCAAGATCGTCACCAAAGCAGATTGATTTGTCATTTAGTCACAAAAAAGATCAATATAAGATAAAAGTCAACTAGTAGTCTAACAAATACTACTAATGACAAGCCGAATTTTGAAGTACAAACTTGGCCAACAAATTTGGCTCACCAACTCTCTTACTCCCTTCTTGGTAGGAGAACATGCACATCATGTCAAGTAACGGAAGTACAAAAACATTATGTTATTAGTGTCATACTTCTTTTATTGTTCATTCGGCCTGTAGAAAGATGAGATAAGTTAACAAAATGTTTATATCAACTCAAAGGCTGAAATGAAAAGTACTAGGATGCATGGATCAACAAATCAAGAGAACACACACATTGAAGTTGGATAGTATGCATTTAATGCAATAGTGGCTATAAAAGATCACAATTGTCATTCAATGCAACTCACTCATTTTTGAAAGAACATCTTTGTGAGTGTTTTTTACACAGTCATATTGTTTATGATCATAGTTCTTATCTTCTTAACTTCCACAACAAATCTGTAATTCTTTGTTTTATACAAAATATAGAATCTAGAATCAGAAAATTTGTTGTATTCGTATTCAACCCCTTTCTACAAATACTTCTTGTGTAAATCACCATTTCCCAGGACCAACAATTAGTACTAGTTAAATAGATTAAGGATCATGTGAGGAGTGAGAACAAGAGTTATGGTGAGAAATGTAAGAAGGGATTTGATTCATGATCATTTTTAATTTCAAACCAACTCATGAATTGCACTTTATAAGAAAATTGATGTGGTTTTTTCATTAGTGTTGATCTATTGGAACTCTTCAATTAGGATTGATCGAATGGTGGAGATCTCTTCTAATTATAACTTTCATTTCTCACCAAAGCCCAACCCTAATTAAATAATCACTAAGTATTTAAATTTCACAATTATTACAATTATCAAAATTGGTCGTCTTGCTTTTATCGACCTACCAATAATAGCAAAAGTTCAAATCTATGATAATTCGGACTACAAGTACACATTGTGGCTAAGGGACCGTTTACCCATCTTTTATAAGATAAGTATTTATCAACAAGATTTATCATCTTCACCGTCATTAAAATGGATTGTGGCAAGTGTTTTTATCTGATAAGCGTTTACAGGGCTGTCATAATCTTTTTGGAGGCCCTGTTACCACATATTACTATTATAGTTCATATAAAACAAGTAATAAATAAGACAAAATATAAAGTTAAAATTGGTCAATTGAAGATTTTACCAATGGGTTTGTCCCAAAGAATCCCATGGTTCCTTTGCTTGGATACTTCTTTGTTATATATCGACATATAACTCGTAATTATGTTATCAACACAAAGAATTCTTTCGTTTTCAGTAGTTCAAGTCAAGTATATACGTATTTCCAGAAAATAAGTTCACTTTTGAATCTTCATGGATGGGTTGGGACATGACAAAAAAGAAAAAAAACTTGTTTTCTCAACTTTAGCCCGACAATTAAATTACTAATCTGATTGCAATCAGGGAAATGGGACACGATAGATAAATTACTAATTTGATTGTAATCAGGGATCTGGGAAAGTAAGGAAACAATATCATCTTTAAAAGGTTAAAGCAAAGGTGTAGATATTACCAAATAGGGTGATTTCATCATCTTCAAATGATGGAACTTGGCCAAAGGGTTGTATGAGAAAGAGTAACAGAGACAAGTCAATGGGATACCATTTCTTAGAGACATTAAAACAAACAGTTACAAGACTTGAATCAAACTATATTAATCTTCATAGCAGGTAATTCAAAAGGGGGGAAACAGTTGCATTACTTCAAATTCTCCACAACAATAAGCTAAGAACACAAGAAATTAGACCATAATTTGTGGAATTGAGAGATAAGTAAATAAGGAACAATGAAAAATGTGAGTAACCCCGATAGAATCAAGTAAACAATTTGAAGTTTTGATTTCTGAAACTAAAGACTAAAGTGTAAAGTCCCAAACAGTAAACAGACAAACAGTGTGTTAATTTTGGTTTCCTAAATGGCTAAATCCTAATGTAAACAAAATGAACATAAACATATGTTACATAATATGACTATCTAAGTATGATATTTTCTAAATCAATGAACCTAAACAATTAAATATCAAAAAATTCGATAAGAAACAAAATCGGTAACTCAAAACCCAAAATCAGTAACCAAAATCAAAACCAGGAAGGAAATCAGTAATCCAAACCAAAACCTAAAGCAAAATAGGTAACCAAAAGCAAATAAGTTGCTTCTTCAATTAGGTGGTGGAAGAAGATGCAATGTTGACCAAAAAACCAATGATCATGGTTGAGGAAAACCATGTTCTGGTGAGGTCTGATGAACAAAATAGTCATCGAAAAAAATGGACAAATATTGTCAAGCGTCAAAATAGGTCATACCATATCATACTATCGTAGCCGTTGGAAAAAAAATGCAAGCAGCCATCGTGGCTCCGCCTCACCTTGACTCGCCGGAAAAAATGTACCAAAATACTTCTAAGTTCTAACCCAATTTAAAGAGAGATAAATTTGGTGAAGATGAGAATGATGAATCAGGAAGGGTTGTAGAATGATGAATCAAGATGAACCGGGAAGATCGAAGCGTCTTAATGGAGAAGGAAGGGTGTGAATTTGTTCTCAATCACAGTTTTAACAGGCCAAGGGATAGGCCTGAGCGTTTATAGGGTAAGATTCTCAGTCTTTGCTACGCTTTTTACCGGATAAGATCTTTGGTCCTTATCATGCTCACCGACAAGGTAGGTGATGCTCGATAAATATTTACTCGATAAAAGTTTGGTCCCTATAGTTTGTAAAAAACAACATATTTTACCCATGAAGTTTTAAAATTATAAGATAGTCATCATGGTTGCGAAAATGTCCAACTTTGGTCCCTCTCTCTAAATGTCATTAAAAAAATTTGTTAAATGAGTGACACTTTTCTCATTTTATCAAATTTTCGTCTCTTACCCAATAAAAATCGATTTTATGATTTTAGTTTATGTGGTTTTTGATTGGATGAAAAGACAAAAAAATCGATAAATGACCAAAATGTTCTCATTTAACACACGAAAAATTAACAAGTGTTAGGGGCCGTTTACCAAACGCTTACCCGGGCAAGTGCTTATCAAGTAATATTACCTTACCGGATGAATATGGTAAATACCAAGAATCTTATCCGGTAAGAGCAAAGGTAAGTACCGAGAGTCTTACCCGGTAAGTGAGATCGATGACTCTTACCACGGTTAGCGCTTACTAGATAAATTGTTACATTTGATTCCATTTTGGCGGATTAAAATCTTACCCAATAAGTAAATCATAATGTTGAATTTTGCCGGTAAATATTTACCCCGATAAACTTTTGATAAAAGAACCCAATTTCAAAACTACAGAGACTATTAAAAATCTTATTTTCAATAAACCACAAGAATCAAATTTGTTGACTTAAACCACCGCCAATCAAGCGCAATTATGTGTGTATCGTACGGAATCAAGATCCCCTTAAACCCTTATCTCCAAATTTTAACTTCATTATTTATATATTTTTTAAAATTGATAAATTTTAATCATTAATAAACAATATTTATTTTGCTTTTTAACTTTAATCAGACAAAGCATCATATGATTTGAACCATTTTTAATCTCAAACCAATCCATAAATTGCGTTTTATAAGAGAATTGATCTAGTAAAACTTTTCAATTATGATTGATCTAAGAGGGTGTTTGGGATTGCTTATTTGAAATAGCTTATATTTTTCTACCAAAATACTTATCAACTTATTATAAATCAGAAGGGTTTAACTTCTTCAAAAACTTCTTATTACCGGTTTGGCACCGGTATAAGTTGTTTATCCAAACACTCAAAAATGTTTATTATCGGTACTACATCAAAATAAGTCAATAAGTTGTTTTTATAAGCGATCTCAAACACTTCATTAATTTGTTTTTCTCTTTTCTTTTTATTATTACCATCGAGTTTCAGAAATTGGCAAAACAGGTCCTTAAAACTATTACAAATAGCATAATACAGCGAAAACATGAAAACATTTATAAGATAATGGAGATTTTAAACGGATGTTAACATGAGGGTCCTGATCTATAATAAAAATGTAACCACGATGACCATCCTTGTAATTATTTTACTTAAGAGATCCAATCCAAATTTTCACCAAACCACAAGGACGAAACTTGTAACTTTCTACTGAACGATAATTACATTTTATTAAATATATATTTAGTATTTAAAGCTAAAATAAGACAGCTAATAAAAACACTATTAAATGTCAATTTCTAAACCAAACAAATTTAAAATTCAATTAAATAATTTTAAAAATTGTACATCATGCATGAAAGTTGTCATTTGGATTTCTTTACAAGTTATTAGTTTTAAAAATTAAAAGATTAATGTTGTTATCTATACTATATTATAAAGCATTTGATAAAAACTCTTAAAAGTCATTTTGAATGCGTAAAATATCGTTTATTAATGCATATTACTTAAAATTCAAGATCACAAGTAAATTATGCATAAATACAATTTATTAAAGTTTTATTTTTGAATTTTTGTAACTAACGATAGATAAACATAATCAAATACAGAATAGACGTCTCATTTTGAATATAAAAAATCTAAGGTAATAATTACGATAATCATTAGTTATAACAAGATATTTAATTATTATCTTTATAAAAGTTATATTATTAAACGATAAATAAGTTACTTCGTTACTAAATTTAAATTAAATTATAATTATAATACTGATTTAAAAAAAGTACACAAAAAACCAAAACTTTAAATAGTAAATCTGATACTAATAAACCACAAGGGTGGTGATTGATTGGTTTGAGCTTGACTTCAAAGGTCAAAAGTATCAGGAGGTCTCAGGTTCAAATCCAAGTCGGAATAAAAATCCCTTGTGACCACGGAGGTTCAAATGCGGTGACTCCAGGCTATCTGCGAAGCATGTAGTCGTTATGTGATTAGTCGGCTAGCATAGCGGGTTGGATACTCAGGTTAATAAAAGAAAATTGGTACTAATATCGATATATGTTTTTTCCATATTTTTATAATATATTTAAATTTATATTTTATTTAAAAATAAAAACATTATCGTTTTCTCAAACCACTAAAAACTGTATTATATCAACATAGATAAATTATAAAAACAAAACATTAAAATTGAAATATATTTTGCTATATTATGCAAGCACTTTTTAGTTTTTAATAAAATATTCTTATTATTAGAAAAATTAAAAAGAATTCAATAATTAATATGAACGTGCCGAAAATATAGGTAGTCCAATAATTAATATTTAATAAACAAGTAAAGTTTTTTTTAATGTATATTCCATAAAAAAAATATGGTTTTCTAAATCAAGGGTTGTATATTATATTAAGAATATCTTATAAACCAGATTTATCAAAAGTCTTAAAAACAACTCCTAATGCATTAAATACTACTACTTTATGCATTAAGTCTAAAAATCACTTAATCTACAATTAAAATAACATATAAAACAAGTTACCAATGCACATTATTATATTTTCTTTTCATATTCCCAAGATACTTTTGACACCTTTCATTCATGTTTTCACCATCTCATACATCTATGTCTTCTCCCCATCCCCCAATGTGAGGTTCAAACTGATATTCACCATGAGTTATTAAAAGTTCTCTCATTCAATTGCTCTAGAATTTTCGGTATCGCTCTCGATCTCTTAATTATTTGCTCTTGATGTGAATCAAACATATTTGTGGAGTCGTTTAAATATGTTGGATTTTAAATATATTGGATTTTAAACTGTCATACATTTTTTTTCATCGATAGACTGTAATTGGAACAATGACTCTTATTTATTCAAATTGTATTAATATGTAAAAACCAAATGTAACTTATCTCATCGTTAAATCTTCTCTAATAAAACCAGTGAAACTTCAAAATCATTAAAATTCACAGCTCCCGCCGCATTGCACGGGTACACAACTAGTATTGTAAGAAAGAGAAGATTAAAATAAGCTTAATATGTAAATAAATGAAAATTTTCTAGAAAAAAACCGGTTAAAAATGTATATGTAAACTGATGTTACAAATTATTCACGTCAGTTTACATATGCATCTTTAAATAAAAAAATTCGATGATTCAAATATGAACCTTTCGACAATATTTAGTCTTTTTTATCTGAATCTTCTACTTTCCAAGTATTTTTTTTATTAACCTGAATATCCAACCCGCTATGCAAGCCGACTAATTTCAGTGCGACCACTTGCTTTGCAGATAGCCCGAAGTCCCCGCATTTGAACATCCGTGGCCACAAAGGGATTTTTATTCCTCCTTGGATTTGAACCTGGAAACTTTTAACCTTTGGAGCCAAGCTCAAACCAATCAGACATCACCATTGTGGTTAATACTTTCCAAGTATTTCTAACACATAATTCATATAAGATTTCACAAGCATATTACAAGAAGTAGTTGCATTATACCATAAATCAAGATTTTACAAACATATTACAGAAGAAGAGAGACATGAAAGAGACCTCTAAAACACTCATCACCAAACACCTGACTCATTCATAGACCTGTTTCCTCATCCATCCTCACAACCATGTGAAACCCCTCTTAATATTCAAGTAAAAGGGTAAAAAGTTGCAGTAAAAAATGCCCATCAATCTATTGCCATGAGGTTGCCAGTTTCCAACAAGAGCATTGTCATCATGGTCAACAAGTCAACCATGAAAAAGTTTCAAAAAAACCTCCTGCAAAATGAACCCCATGGCAAAACAAGATTTCTAAGGCATGAACATGGTTCAAAGTGATGGACAATCCCAGGCCCTTGGTTACCAGATTTTTGAAAGAAAAAAACTGGAAAAAACAAGACATTTTCGTCTTGTGATCGCCGATAGAAGTGAAATATCGAGCCCACAAAATGAAGGGAAATAGCGTAAAAGTAACGGAAAGATCTTCACATAAACTTCTTGAGAGCGAAACGTAGGTTCTTCATGAGGTCCTTCATTGTCATTGCAAATTCTTTATCCATCTGCAAAAACATTAACATGGGGTTCAATTGTTTGAACTAAAACACAATTTTGAGATATCAGATTCGATAATCAACCATCTTTTTGCGTAAAAATGTCTACTTTTTACCTGAGCAATAACGGTTATATCAAGAGCATGATTAGCGAAGGTCATGGCAGTGCTGTTAATGACCGAGAGATGAAGCTTCTCGATTTCAGTTAGTATCTTTTCTAGAATACCTCCCTTTTTCTCACAATGAATTCTTATCAGCACATCATTACCAAAAAATCTTGCCTCGATTTCAGGCAGCTGCTCGTGAATTGGGCCACCGGAAAAGTTCTCATCAGATGACGAACTTTCAGCGCCATCAACTAACAACTCGTATCTTTTAACAAAAACTACTGATTCTGTGTTGGGTCTCTTCTTGATCTGCTCCTCAAGTGTCTTCACTTTCTCTTGGAGGGTTTTCAGGTGATTGATTGCATCTCCAAGAACAGAAGCTTTATCCATCTGGTAATGGTAATCACACAAATTATAACAACATATAAGATTCTTGATAAATATATTCAAATAAGGGGATCAAAGAGATTGTTTACAAATGAGTACCAGATGCTTCAAGATTCATCTGTGAATACTCTATCCTTTGGGCATAGGAAAGGTCTGCCTACATTTTATACTCTCAAACTCTACTCTTACGAGATTTACTGGCTTCGTTTGGTTCTATAAATACTTTTGAAATAGATCGAAAAGAAAAGATTACCTTTTTAAGGCCAGGGACTAGAGCAGAAAGAGCTATGAACCTCTGGCTGAGTTTTTCTCTCCTTTTTCTCTCAGCTAAGATGTGATCTTGAGCTGGAGAAAGTCTAGGGCCACTTTTAGCACCATTAACACCCCCATCATGACCTTGGTTGAAACCAGAGTTCTTTTGTTGAAACTGGAGATGGGATGGTGACAATTTATCATCACAAGGGAGGAAGCCATGGCTTATCTTAGAAGAAACAGCCATTTCCTCTTTAGGCTTCACAACTGTACCTTGATTTAGATTCATCGATGAATGCTCAGTGCTTATAGATGAATTCCAGCTGTTTGTTTTGAGCTGTTTAGTTGGTCTTGGAGATGGTTCCATAGCAGGTTTGTAATAGTCAAACACACCTGTATGAGCATGAACCTGATCTCTGGTATCTCCAAATGTAGCTGCTGCAATCGCCATTGAATCTAGTTGATGATCAAATGGGTTGACTGGATGCTGGAAATTGAAACAGGGGTCTTCCATTTGTGTCCATTCTGATAAACCTCTGAAATATGAAATCTCCATGACCGTTTGGACCAAATCCTCTCTCTCTTTAACAATTTAACAAAACAGCTTGTCTACAAAAATTGATTGAACCAGAAAAACAAGCCAAAAAAAAAACCCTGAAAACATCAAAATAAACACAGAAACATTAGATTATGAAAAACTCTTCAAAATTCAACAGATATCACAAATACCCAAAATCAAGAATCACTAATAGCTTGAAAGGGCTCACCTTTTTTTAATAGAGAAGAGAGCTTTTCCTAATGGCTATGTTCTGGAGAGATTTAAGTTCAGTTTTATAGGTCTAGTCGAGATGCCAGTTATGGGTCGTCTGTCTCTAGGGGTTGGCAATATGCACTGGACATGGCTGCTGGATCAAGAAAATGGCTAATTAAATCATGGTGGGGAGTTAAGAATCTGATCAACTGGTTAATAAAACTAATTATGCAAGTGTGCAATAATTAGATGGTACTTAATGACTTTCAAAACTTGTTGATCGTGCTTAGACTTTTCATCAACTAATCTAGAGATTCTCCAACAGCCTATCCAAAAGCCACGTTTGACCACATGTGGTTGGTGTTTGATTGTTTTGAGCTTGACTTCAAAGGTCAAAAGGACCCAGATTCAAATCTAAGGAGGAATAAAAATCTTCTTGTGGTCATGGAGGTTCAAATGCGGTGACTCCGGGCTACCTGCAAAGCAGGTGGTCGTCCTGGGATTAGTCGGCTCGCATAGCGGGTTGGATATCCATGTTAATTAAAAAAAGGCATGTTTGACGGCTTGGCCAGCTTACAAACTATTGCTCCTTGTAATACAATTAGACCAGAATACCGTTTTAGTCAAAGGTTTTAAATAGCGTGAGGCGTAGTATGACTGTGAAATGAAACCTTAAACCTTATCGATTATCGTGAGATCACAATGTTTTTCAAAGCATGCTTTAAGGTGGCATATAATTACACATGTATGTATGGGGTTGGGTTCTGATGAGAAGAGGATTAAGGTTAGAAGAATAAGAAGATATCTGCACCATTTGATGCACATTAGGATGAGATGCACCGGATCAATCCTCGTATTAAGCGTGATTCATGGGTAGATTTGACATATTTGACATTAAAGGTGATCAAACGTCCAAATCCCTTCTCACATTTCTCATAAAGCCGTATACAATGCATACGAGATGCACGTACGGTAGGGGCAGAGAGAATTTTAGGTGGAGCGGTGAAATGTCTTAACTCTTTTTCTCACACGATCTTTGTATGTGTGTGTATATACACACACACACACTTGTGCGTAGTGTTTTTTAAATAATATTGTATAACAATGTAAATTCATATAAAGTTATAAAACTAAAAAAGAAAAATATGTAGAGCTTATAAGAAAATGATATCAAGAATGCAATAATCGGGATTGAATCTCTCGAGTCTATAGTCACTACTTTCTTCAATCTTCAAGAAATTCATGTTCGACTCTTAGTGTACGGGATTGGGAGTAACGGATTTTTTTAATTTACATGGATATCCAACCCGTTATGCGAGCCGACTAATACCGATACGACCACCTACTTTGCTCACCGCATTTGAATCTTCGTGGCCACAGGGGAATTTTTATTCCTCCTTTGATTTGAACCTGAGACCTCCAGACGCTTTTGATCTTTGGAACCCAAGCTCAAACCAATCACGCATCATCCTTGTAGTTGAGAGTAAGGGTTTACCTACTAAGGGTTTTAGTTTTTATGTTTATTCAAGTCTTAGATCTTGTACATAGTTATAATTTATCCCCCGACTTATATGATAGAAAAAAAGTAATAAAAAACCACGTCTTACAAAATAACAAGTTGTAATTCGCCATAACGCATACAATGCAAGTCAAGCCTTAAAATGGAACCATATGGGTTAATATGGCGGCAAAGCTTGCCATAACAGCTAGCTTATTAGCCAACAGCTAGCTTATGTGCTAGTTTGCCAAACATAATCAAATTGTTATGAGGTAGTACGGTACAATGAGTGTATAAAGACGATATGAGACAATACAAAATAGTATATGACAATATTAAAAACGATGCAAAAGACGTATAACGATGTGAGATTTACACACTGATATGAAACATTACAAAATGATACAATACAAGAAGATACATCAAAATTGGAAAAAGCATCTGATCCCAAACTATCTGAGATAACAAATAACTATTAGAGTTAATTGATACGTACATAATTGACATACAGTGTAATTTTATCATGAAATCAATTCAACTGTAGTTTGAGATGTGTGGACAAAAGTGTTCAGACGGTAGGACTTCATTTCCCTCAATGTCGGTTCTATTGCAAATGTTTTTCTCTTTCGAAAGACCTCCCTTCAGTCTGTAAAAATTTAAAATTTTGTGGTAGACTGTGTTTTGGATTACAATGTAACGATTTAGGCCTACTGCAGCAAAATGGTTTTTTCGAATCAGATTTCTTTTGCAATATGACTTGGCTTTCAATATTCAACTTCTATCCTACAAATGATTATCTAATCGTTCAAAAAAAGTTTCATATTTCTTGGTTGATTGGTGTTGCAGTCCAGATGGTTATCTATGTGGTTAACCCTCGTCTCGTACGGGACAGATTGTACCTCCGTTAGGGTCTTTTCCGTTGTTTTTTGTTTGTCGTCTTTTTTTGATCCAGTGTTTTTCTTTGTTTTCGTTTCTACTCCTTACAGAAAGGTTCATTTTATGATTGGTTTGTTGTAGTTGATAAAGGATTGTATGTATAAGTCTAAGTCTAAGTCTAAAAGTTTTTAAAAATTTTGTTATAACTGATCATTCAGATAAAAATAAGTTGTACATTTTTTGTATAAACAGTTGTTGATCAACGAAATTAAATGAGAAAAGCTTCTCAAAACCTCTATTTTCCTTTAGTAGTGCCTTCTTAGTTTTATAAATCATAGACGCAGACAATTTTTGGCGCGACCTAAGTCGTAGAACACGTTGTCCCCACATCATAGGGTCCCCTCATACGTATTATCACATGTGATAATGGTGTTTTCGCGTTTAAAATGGAGGTGTTCTCATTTGAACCTCCATATATATATATATATATATNTGTGTGTGTGTGTGTGTGTGTGTGTGTGTGTGTGTGTGTGTGTGCGCGCGCGCGCGTAGAGTTGAGTTCCAGTGAGAAGGAGATTTAAGGTTGGAAGCGTAAAAAAAGATCTTCATCCTAGGATGCACAGAGACACACTAGATTAATTATGGTGAGAAGCGCAATTCGTGGATGGACAAGAGATTAAAAGTGATCAAGGGTCCAAATCTATTCTTACATTTCTTAACTTACTTTCGTATACATATGTATTTGTGTATGTATGTGTAACATATACAATATACATGATATGATATAACTGAGATCCATTTGTTGCGAGTTTTAGGAACCAAATGATAGAAATTAATGACGGAACGAAATTTGTGTTTTAAATGTATGGGTCCACTGAGTCAACCCAATCCATTTGACTCGTGGCCGATTTTAACTCGGGGGAATTTATTTCCGTGATGACACCTTCTACACTTTTGCAATAAACAATACTTTTAGTTTTGTCGTTCTTATATAATATTTTATATTTTTATATTATTATTTTAATTTGTTTCAAAATAAATATTTTTTAAAAAAATAAGACGTTATTTGATCCATTTAAAAAATGAAAATGCGGGAAAATCGAATACGAATAAGATTTTCATTCCTTTCAATTTCATCATGTATGAAATCAATGAGTCTGAGAAGCTGTTTGGTAGTTGGTGAATGATTTAGTGCAGAATGATTATGTGGTCAGAATAATTAAGAGGCTCTCATGATATAGTGCAAAATGAAATATAATTATTTGGTAATTGTTTACAATGAAATTAGGGCGCTCAATGGTTAAGAAGGCACATGAAGCAAAATCATTCAGAGGATTTTAGAACCATTAAGAGTCAGACTTCTCTTTTGTCAAACAAGATTCACCTCTTAACGAATCAGAAGCTGTCTCGTAATAGAACTATTAAGAGGTAAACAAACAACCCCTGAGGTGATGACTCCATTATATTATATTTAACCAAACTATATTTTTCATCAGTATTCTCCAAATGTTCATAGTGTCCATACAACATTTGCTTTTTGAGTATAAGAAGACATTTAAACCTTTGTTTTTTTATGTTGGAGATTTTTACTCTGTGACCACAAGTATAAAAATATATTTTTAAGAGTGATATGGAGAAAAACCAATATTTTTTTTTTTGAAAACTTATTTGGGTAATTTAGGGCCGTTTACCAAACACTTACTCGGTAAGTGTGCTTATCGGTAAAATTTAACACTATTATTTACTTACTATGTAAGATTTTTATCTATCAAAACGACATTGTATGCAACAATTCACCCGGTAAGCACTTATCGGGTAAGACTCATGGTCTTTGTCTCGCTGTTACCGGATAAGATTATTAGTCCTTACCATATTCATCCGATGAGGTAATGCGACTTGATAAGCGCTTACCCCTGTAAGCGTTTGGTAAATGGCACCTTACCCCCGTTTGCCAATACGACAATGATAATTATTTGAGCATACATGTATATTTTAGTCCTGAAGAAACATACAAGAATGTTGTTCTCGAAAATTCCAACTTACCTGAGTGTAAGAAAAAACCGTTAAACATTATAATTGTAACTCGTGTCAGTTATTCTACTCAAATTTGATACTTTTTACACTTCTTGTTCAATTGATTTTGTGGAATGTAAAGTCATTTTTTACTTACATTTTTGAAATATAAAATTAACAAAATTCATTGGAATTAACAACATGATTAACCCCTAAATTGCCTAACAAGTGGTATAAAACCTATGCTATGAACTATTTGGATTATGGCGTACTGATTAAGCCTTGAGGGATGAAGTGGAATATCTTATCCACTCTGAGCTCGAATCCAAGCGCTATCAAGCTCTTGTGGTCATGAAGGTTCACTTGCTATGACTCC